GCTGGAAAAGACTTTTGAGAGTCCCTTGGACAGCAGGGAGATCAAATCAGTCAATACTGGAAGAAATGAATTCTGACTATTAATTTAAAGGTCGAATACTGAAGCTAAAATACATTGGCCACTTAATGAGAAGACAGGACCCATTGGAAAAGATTCTACGTCGGGAAAGATTGAAGACAAAAGGATAAAGTGATGGCAGAGGATCAGATGGATAGTGTCATGGAAACAATGAATTTGAACTTGGACAGACTGTGAGCGATTAGTGGGGCACAAAAGGGCTTGGAGTGCTATGGTCCGTGGGATAAAGACGAGTTGGACACAGCTGAACAACAAAAGTATGTGTGTTCTGCTGTCTTTGCTTACTTTATCAAATCCGGACAAATCTCCTGTTTCTTTGAATTTTTACTACTTGTCACTTCTTATGGCATGATAGTGTACATTCACATGTATAATTTATATAGGCATTTTCCAATGAATGTTAATCCAGTTTCATTTTTCTGCTACAAAAGTGCTGTTGTAAATATACACGTGTATATGTACGTTTGAGGCAGCTAGGTGGTGCAGTGGATAGAGCATTCTTTGGGCCTGGAGGCAGGAAGATCTGAATTTGAATGCAGGATCAGACACTAGCCATGTGACCCTGGGCAAGTCACTTAACTCCTTTTTGCCTCAGTTCCTCATCTGTAAGATTGCGGTTGTGGTTGTGGCTTGCTCTTCATCCTGGAAGAGGACCATGACATCAGGGAGATGATGACGTGCCTCGTAATTGAGTTTGATTGGAGTGAGGGAGGGCCGTGCAAAGTCACCTGCCTCACCTTCCTCCTCATCTGCAAAATGGAGACACACTGGAGAAGGGAATGGTAAAACTCTGCAGAATCTTTGCCAAGAAAATCCCATGGACGTAGTCTATGGGGTCACAAAGAGTCAACTGAACAGCCAAACAATATGTATGAATGCAGACATGTACACGATATGGATCTGTGTATATCACCTTTCCTTGTTTACATCCTTAGGGCACATGTTGAGCAGCAAGATTGCTGGGACAAAAGGTATAAGCCACTGAACCATATTGTGATTTTTCTCACGTAATTCCAAATTATTTTCCAGAATAATTGGAAGACTTCTGAGCTCCTCACAATCCCTCTTTTAAGATTTTATCTTTATCACTTTTCTGATAGGCAAAAGATAAAATCTTAAAGTTGTTTTAATTTGAAGTTCTCTTATTCTTTTTCATATGGTTGGTGATACTTGAATTCTTTGGAAAACTATTTGTGTCCTTTGACCATACTGAAGAACGGCTCTCAATTTTGTCAGTTTGATACATATCTTTATCAGGCTTTTATCTGAGATATTTTCCCCCATTCTGGCTTATTATTTCAATTGCACTTGGTTTTCTTCAGGAAAAATTTTAAAGTCTTATGTGAATGAACTTCAACTTTTTCATTACTGATATAGGAATTTCCTTTGTCTACAAAGATTCCTAAAGATTCTGATTTAGTGGCTATGACCTAGGAAATAAAAATAATAATAAAACCAACCAACATGAGGCTAAGTAACTTTCCCAGAGTCATACGTCATTAAATGTGAGGCAGAATATGAATCCAGTCTTCCTGACAAGCCTGTCTCTATCTGCTCTATCTTGCTGCCTCTACTTGTCTTTTACAATCTCTTCTATCCCGTTTAGATAGAGTTCTCCTATCCATAGTTGTGAAATCTAACACCTGTTCTTTAAATTTTTAAGGATATAATCTTCTATATTTAGGCTGCATATCTATTTGGAGTTCATTGTGGCATGTGGTTTAGGACAGTGGTCTGAAGGTAATGTTCAGCCAAATTGCTTTCCAGTTTTTTCCGGCAATTCTTGTCAGACAGAGTAGTACTCTCCAAGAAGCAGAGAAATTTCACTAATCGATAATTGATGGAGCAAAGGACCTGATGCATAGTAGACACTTCATAACTGCATGTTGACTGATAATAAAATTTTAATAAAATGTTAGCAAACAATAAAGCAATACATCTTTTTAAAATGTTGACTATGACAAAATTGAACTCATACCACTGATGGTGCAACATTAGAAAAACAACATAACTTATCAAATAAAGAGGGAAAAAAAAAACCTGCTGATATTAATAGACACATAAAAGGCTTTAACAAAATATGGTTACATATTTATATTACAAACATTTTAAAAACATAGATAAGGGCCCTTCTTAAATGTGATTGATAGTATTTATTTAAAACCAAGAGCTAGCATTGTTTGCAATGGCAATTTTTTGAGTAACAACCATGATAAAGCAAGGGTGAACGCTTTCCTTAATTTTATCTGATTATGCTAAAAATGCTAGTTATTGAAATAAGACAAGAGAAATTAGTAAAGAGGAGTCAAAACCATCGCTGTTTACATGCATGATGGTTTATTTAGAAAACCAGACATGATTAATAAGGAAACTGAGACTAAATAGTTAAATATAAAATAAATCCAAAAAATTATCAGCATTTCTATATAGTATTAACAACAAAAACAAAGAGGAACTGACAGAAAAAAGGAATTCCTTTAAACATATCTACAAAATGCAGAAAATATCTACCTACCAAGACAGGTTTGTCTTAATTTATAGATTTAGTACTAAAACAATTAAATGTTCAAAAACGGGCTGCACATATAATAAAAATAATGGTACTCATCAAATCAGTCTGTAAATTTGATGCTATACCAATCGAATTACCATATAGACAATATAGAACTTTACCATACAAAATAAAGTTCACATGGAAGAAAAAGTTTTTAAAAATCAAAGGAAATTATTTATTAAGCACCCATCGGTGCAAGGCACTGTGCCAAGTGCTGGGAATACTAAAACAAGTCTCTACCCTCATAGAGCTTACATTCTACCAAGAGACAACATGTACAGAGATGAATAAATACAGCTGGAGGGAGAACATACAAACAACCAGGAGGTTCAGGAAAGGCTTCTCCTAGGAGGTAGCACCTGAGCTGATCATTGAAGGAAAGGAAGGATTTCTAGGGTCAGAGGAGGAGAATATTCATTCCAGGCATGGGGGACAGTCTGTGCAACTCTGAGCTATCATCTCACATACATGTTGGCAGAGGGCAAATAGTGAAAAAATTCAATAGAAAAGTAGACAAGCAGGCTTATTTACTGCTGCTGGTGTAGCTGTGAACAGGGACTATTCTGAGAAACAATTTGGAATTACACAAGAAGTTATTACTTTTTCATACTCTTTAATCCAGCAGTATTTTTTTCTTTGGAGGCAGTTGGGGTTGTGATTTGCCCAGGTTCACACAGCTAGTGTCTGAGGGCGAATTTGAATTCACATCCTCCTGACTCCAGGGCAAATGCTCTACCCACTATACCACCTAGCTGCCATCAATCTTTTTTTCTGGGGTTAAGCAATGGGGTTAAGTGACTTGCCCAGGGTCACACTGCTAGTAAGTGTTATGTGTCTGAGGTCGGATTTGAACTCAGGTCCTCCTGAATCCAGGGCCGGTGCTCTATCCACTGTGCCACCTAGCTGCCCCCATCAATCTTTTTACTGCATTTATGCCCCACAGGTCAACAGCAGTAAGAAAGGACACATATGTACAAAAAATGTTCTTAGTAGTACTACTGTAAAATTTGGGGGAAAATGAAATGTAGTTAGTGCCCAATGATTGGGAAATGGCTAAAGAAATTATGTTATTCAAATGTAATGTAATATCATGAACATAAATTCGGAGGAACACGGGAAGACTTATAGGAAATGATGCAGAGAGGAAGGCATAGCCTAAAGAATAAAATACATACTGACTGCAATTTGAATGAAGACAATATTAAAAGGCAATATAACTCTGGTCACGTACACAAAATGTTGGTACTAAATTATAAAAGTTAAAGCACAACTCTTTTATGTTGATGAGAGGAAAAGTTGGTAAAAAGAGGAAAGTGGCACGTACTATCAGTAAAGATTTCTATCAGTTGAATTTGCTTAACTGTTTGGGGGACTGAATTGTGTCAATGAGAGTGTCTGTTAGGAAATGTCTGCTTTGTCAAAATAAAACAAAACAATAAGAAAAAGACGCATAAATGAAAAATAGCTCCCCCAAGTGATTTAGAAAAGGAAAGATAAAAAAGAGTCAAGGCTCAGTCAATGCGCACCATATTGGATTAAGATCTTCAGCTACTTTGAGTGACAGTTTTCAGGAACAAAGAGGTGACAGTTTTGTTGTACTCTGCCCTGGTCAATTCACATCTGGAATGTTGTGTTCAATTCTGAGCATTAAATTTTAGGAAGGAAATGGTGAGAGGAGGGCAATGAAGACAGTGAAAAAGGCCAAGTTCATGCCATATGCAACCAGTTTAAGGAACCGGTGATGTTCCTCAAAAAGAAAATTCGGGGGAACACGACGGTTTTCTAATAATTAGAGCTCTCCCATTGTCAAATGAGCTGCCTTAGAAGATAGTGGGATTTGACCTTAATGGAGATCTTCAAGTAAAAGCTGAATGATTATTTGTGGGGTGTGTTGTCTTGGGACATGCTTTGTCCAGTATGGGTTGGATTAAATGGTTGTGAGTCCCTTGTGACTCTGAGATTCTGTGATTTTGTGAAAATCAGTGACATGTTTATAGGGCTTCTGTCAAATGTGAATTCAGTGGTGTTCAGCAAGGTTCACAATTAAAATTAATCCTGTGCTACAGTTCCTACATTTATAGTTACCCCGTTAACATGAAATTCTTAAATTATTGAAAGAGCATTTTCCAGTTAAAGGTTCTCTCAAATTCACTTCATTAATATGGTTTCTCTCCAGTATGAATTCTGATAATTAGGCAGAGACATTTTATGGCTGATGGCCACTCCTATAAAGCAGTTCTCTCTAATATTGAGTTGTTTGATATTCAACAATACTATATGAATAATGTGGTTCTGTCTAAAGAGCTTTTCACCATAATTTGTTTTTGCTGCAATATTGATTCTTCAATGTTATGTTTTGTATCTCAGCTAAAAACCTTTCAAAAGACTACAGGTTTCTCTCCAGTATGATTTTTTTTTTTTTTTGCTGACATTTAAAGTGTGTTTCATCTAAGGGCTTGACCACAGTCATTACACTAATAAGGTTTTTCTCCAGTATGACTCCTCTTATGGTAAATTAGGGATGAATTGTGCCTGAAAACTTTCCCACATTCGTTACATAGATAAGGTTTTTCTCCAGTATGAATTCTCTGGTGGTAAGTAAGTTGTGTGCTCTGAATGAAGGCCTTCCCACACTCATTACATTCATAAGGTTTCTCTCCAGTGTGAATTCGCTGGTGGAAAGTAAGCTGTGTGCTCTGGTTAAAGGCTTTCCCACATTCATTACACTCATAAGGTCTCTCTCCAGTGTGAATTCTCTGATGAGAAATAAGCTGGGTATTTGACCTGAAGGCCTGTCCACATTCATGACATTCATAAGGTTTCTCTCCGGTATGAATTCTCTGATGGGAAGTAAGGTGTGAATTTGACCTGAAGGCTTGCCCACATTCATGACATTCAAAAGGCTTTTCTCCAGTATGAATTCTCTGATGGTAAGTAAGGGATGAACTAGAGCTAAAAGCTTTCCCACATTCATTACATTCATAAGGTTTTTCTCCGGTATGGATCCTCTGGTGGTAAGTAAGATGTGTGCTCTGAATAAAGGCCTTTCCACATTCATTACATTCATAAGGTTTCTCACCAGTGTGAATTCTCTGATGGAAAGTAAGCTGTGTGCTCTGGATGAAGGTCTTCCCACATTCATTACACTGATAAGGTTTTTCTCCAGTGTGAATTCTCTGATGAGAATTAAGTTGTGTATTTGACCTGAAGGCCTGGCCACATTCGTTACATTCAAAAGGTTTTTCTCCAGTATGAATTCTCTGATGATAAGTAAGGGATGAGCTGTATCTAAAAGCTTTCCCACATTCATTACATTCATATGGCTTTCCTCCAGTATGAATTCTCTGATGGGACGTGAGCTGTGTTCTCTGGATAAAGGTCTTCCCACATTCATTACACTGATAAGGTTTTTCTCCAGTGTGAATTCTCTGGTGGTAAGTGAGCTGTGAGCTCCACCTAAAGGCCTCTCCACATTCGTTACATTCATGAGGTTTCTCCCCAGTGTGAATTCTCTGATGGAAAGTAAGGGATGAGCTAGAGCTAAAAGCTTTGCCACATTCATTACATTTATGAAGTTTCTCCAGTGTATGAGCTCTCTGGAGTTCACCAAGACGTCTTCCCTGAAGGAACGTTTTCTCACATTCACTGTATCCACACGTTCTCTCTTCAAAACGTATTCTATGATGCTGAGTGTTTGAATCACAGCTGAAAAGTTCCTCACATTCATTATCCTGGGAAAGTGTCTCAACGTCACAATTCCAGGCTTCTTTCAATATGGAATCCTGATGACCGTCACTTGGATTTCTTTCCTGGACTGATTTTTCCACAGTAAAGCCCAGTTCTGAAGCTGATTCATCTGTTTTAGACGTGGTCTTCCAATCTGTGACAAGCAAATAGACACATTACTATTAAGTCTTTTCTCCATCTGAAGAAAGAGAACTTCAGTCTATTTACTCTTGTTCTGTCTTCCCTTCTAATGCTGACTCCACCAGTGCCTTCAAGAAGGATATAATAACAACAACAACAACAAAATAACACCACCTTCTATGTGTTGAATGATTCTAGTTTACAAAGAAACTTTGTATATTTATGGGAAATCGTGGAGAACAAGAGGTGCTAGAAAAGTAGTGAAAGTTAGATATCTAAATGCTCCAGAAGAAAGAAAAGGTGGATTCTGCATACTACACCTAAACTACACCTAACCAAATTGGCAGCCAGTGTTGACATGGAAGAGCAGAGCTAGATATGGGGCTAGAAGAGACATAGGTTCAAATCCAGTCTGTGAAACTTAATAGTGATGGGCAACCATGGGCAAGACTCACTTAAGACTTTCATCATCCATAAAATGAGGATATTAATACATAGACCTCACAGGGTTGCTTTTAGGATCAAGAATGATAATGTATTATTTGTTATCGTTATTATCATTATTATATTCAAAGGAATCTGTGATTAGAAGGCACTGGACCATTAGAAGGCGCCTAATAACGTCACAAAAAACCAAAACTGATTATCTTTTAAAGGTCAAGAAATGTCTTATTACCAGTGCTGGAGCCATTCCTGAAGTGGGGGTCGGGGATGTGAGGGGAATATATGGCCAAGCACTGCGCTATGCGCTTTACAAATATTATCTCATTTGATCCTCACAACAACCCATCTAGGTAGGATCAGCTGTTTATGTACCCAGACCACCAGTTATTAAGAGTACGACTCCAGCCTGATCTATTGCAACAAGTTATTTATGATGAAAAATAAGATCGAGATGAAAGAAATGACAAGACCAAACTATAACAATGTCATACGAAAGTTTAACTAGCAGAAATCAAATGCCATAAGAAGGCAAACAAGAGTACAAAGTGATTCAGCAAATACCTGACATCCTTTGTATTACTTAGGGCTGTCTGGTACAGAGTAAGCACTTAATAAAATACTTGTTGACTGACTGAGTTCCTTACAAGTAGATGGACGATAGCCAAGGCAAACAGCAATGTTAAAATCTAGATTCATTAGTAAAGTATTACAGAGAACGCGAGTGGGAGGTTATGACCAGTATCATCTCACATGAGAGACAGAAGCAGTGAGTTAAAACTAGTTTAAAGAAATCTCAGTAAGAGACTCAATTAAATGAAGCTGTTTAAAGATGAAAATGGATGGACGACAAACAAAAGAAAAATTGAAGAAATCTGTAGAGATTTTTATAACAAACTTTTTCCCCACCAAGGACAAAGGACTTTATAGTCACCGTTATTAAATATCACTTAAATAGGTATGATCTATCACTCTGGTCTGCAGAGATCTAGACATTTTCATGTCCTGATCTTATAAGGAGGAGTTGGCTATCTTTTCAAGGTTTGCGCCATCTGGTAAGGGCATTTATACTTCTACCCAAGTCAAAGATGGAAAGGAGAAAGACCAGCACAGAAAATATGAATCCATTCAGGACAGAGAAGGAGGGTTACCACGTGACTAAATTAAGACAGGATAAGAATAAAGAAAAAACTACTCAGAGATAATTGGTGGAAATAGCCTAAGGTCAAAATCTAAACTCTCTGAGAAATATCTGAAATAAACAGGCTCCTCACGCCTGTCTCTCCCTCCCGCTTCTCCCCGTCCAATCCATTCTTTTCCCAGTTTTCATATTAACCTTCCTGTATCCATCACCTGATTTCAACACTGTCCCAACGCCTCCGCTTACTTACAGGATAGGGGAAACACATCTTAAGGAGGCATTCAAAGACCTCCAAAACCTTGTCCCAGTTCAGCCACCTACCCTTCCGTTCCACCCCGCTGCTGCTCCAGAACGACGCTCATTGTCCCGCCATTCTGAACTCTATCCCCTTTCTCATATTGCTTCCTCTTGTTCCGAGAGCTTCATCCTCCACCTTAGCATTTATTCAGATGCCAAAAGTACTTTGTTCATTTTCTATTTTACCTATCTAGCCTTCCAATATCTTCCCTCTGCATTAATTACTCACTTCTCTCAAGGCCCGACATAGAGCAGCTCTACAGTTCATTTTGACCAAATGATGGGAAGCCATCATTATCTGCCCTTTCCCATATCAAGCGCCAGATATTGCCTCTTTCTCTCGTAGGACAGCCTTATATTCCGTACCTCACTGGCATCCAAACAGATTAGCGTAAGGAACGGTCAGTGGAGACAAGGGAAAGGCTGCTTCAGGAAGCTGACCGTGAGGAAATGGGAGACAGAAAGCTCTGTGTCCTGCTGGGGCTACTGCTCTCCCTTCTCTGACAACCGAGGCAAACGTGAACGAAAAGATGTAGGAAAGTGATCTGTTCAGAACAACGCGTGAGGGAGCTTCTGTAGGAAGCTCCATTGCTGGTGTCCCTCTCGAGTGGTGGAGAGCTGAGAACCGTCTCCCGTGCAAACTTTCAAAGGCCTCCTCCACCCCCGACTGAAAAAGAGTACTCAAGGACCCAAATTTTTGCTCACTTACCTCTTAACCCTTCACTCTCCATGATCCATGGGGTTTTCCCTTGCTCCAACTGGGAGATCACATCTGGTTTGGAAACTGGAAGCCCTACTTGGGGAAAATAAAAGTCCTGAGGATAGAGAGCCACCTTCAAATTCAATGATACCCATTCATTTCCAGGGACAAGTAAGCACCCCAGAATAATCAAAGGGCAAGACAAAGAACCTCTGAAAGATGTTTGATACAGAGTTTCTGGGAAGCAGGGATTTTTTTTTCTTTTGAGGCAGATGAGAGTGTATAGTTCAAAGGCAGAAGGTTGGAAAAAGAAAGAAAATCAGATCATTTGTTCATCTCATGGGACCACAGATTTAGAGCTGGAAGTGGCCTTATAATGTGAGTCCAATCATCTCATTTTGCAGATAAGGAAACAGGCACAGAGAGGTTAAGTGACTTGCCCGGGGTCACAAAGTGACTGAGGCAGTATTTGATCCCAGGTCTTCCTGACTCCTACTGTACCATCTAGCTACCTACTAGAAAGCTAAGATTCTTTCTTGTATCTTTAACTTGAGGCAACAGAAGATGTAGAGGGTATGGCCTCAGTGGCAGCCAAGCGAAGACGCCCCTTCCCAGTTTTACAGAACAAATTCCTTTCTGCTCAGTGAAGGCAGCTAAATAGCACAGTGGATAACAGGAAGGTCTGAATTCAGATCCAGCCTCAGATATTTACTAGCTGTGTGACCCCGGGCAAATCACTAAACCTCTGGCTGACTCAGTTTCCTCATCTATGAAATGGAGATAATAACAGCACCTACCTCCCAGGGCTTTTGTGAGGCTCAGATGAGTTAACAATCACAAAGCACTTAGCACAGAAGGGCTGGTATATGGCAGGTGCTCCACAAATGCTTATTCTATTCTCTTCCCTAGAAAGTGTAAAAGTACCCTGACTCACAGAAACAGAGGGATTAGGAGCCACAGGCCACTCCAAACCCAAAAACACTGCTATTAAATCCAAACATTCCACGGCATTTATCAAGTGCAGAAACACAGGGGCAGCTAGATGCCACAGTGGATAGAGACCCAGCCCTGGAGTCAGGAGGACCTGAGCTGAAATCCAGCCTCAGACACATAACACGTGTTAGCTGTGTGACGCTGAGCAAGTCACTTAACCCCACTGCCTAGCAAAAACAAAAACAAAAACAAAAACCAGAAACACACCAGCAGACTCCCAGGTACAAAGTGTAAGCGGCAACAAGTCTCTCTTACCCAGAGAGACCAGGTTCCTGTAGTTCTCCAGCATCACATCTCTGTACAGCTCTTTCTGAGAAGGATCCAGATGTGTCCACTCATCCTGGGTGAAGTCCACGGCCACATCATTAAATGTCACTGCCCCCTGAAATACAATACGCATTCTTGCTTATTCAGAGACTGCCCCTCATCTGGAACTCCAGAGGAGATGAGGTGGCTAGGAAGTTTAGGGCCTGGTTACAAGGGTTAAGTGACTGTAAACTCAGGTTTTCAGATTCCAGTTTACCGTTATTTTCCTACACAATGACAAGAAGTGGTCTATGGCTCCTTCTAACTTGTGTGGGCTCTCTCTCCAACGGTGCCAGAAATGGAGCACTTCACTCTTAAAGCCCCTGACAATCGATAAAATCCACAGGTCCCTTATAATTAGGTACGTAGCACTAACACTGTCAACCTTGGGGGCAAAAAACCCAAAACTCAGACCAACTAGGTGATCGATAAATAAAATGAGGCATTGATTCAGGGTCGAGAAATTGTAATTCGGGGCAGCACGCTGCCTTATTCAGACAGGGATGTCCACGGAGGAAGGGAGGAAGGGGATTCTTATAGGGCCTAGTTGTGGGAAACAGCAGGAGGGCGCATACAGATATCTGTGTCTCGATACACAGAGCAGCTTAACGGCTGGACGGAAGCGTTGAAGGTGTTGTGGGACTACAAGAACAAGGTTGCAGAAGTGTCCTTGGAACCATCTCTGTCCAGGAACAGGGACAGTTAGAAACTGCTGGTCAGAGAACGGTAGGGGTCCAGATTGTCCCAGGGGTTGACAACACATTAAACATTCTCCAGCAAATTTCCATTAATAATCAAGTACCATTTCTATCAAATAAGAGACACTGTCCCTAACAATTTCCCATTGATTAATTAAAACTTGTTTACAAGAGAGAGCAGGCCCTCCATGGCACCAGCCACTGTAAGGAAACAGCCTTACCTCATATATTCCTACTAGGAATGCTACTCCAAGTCCCTACATAATACTTTCCCCAAAGCTGCCATCAATCCACAATTTTGGTCACGTTTTTATTTTAAAGGACATACTTCACATGAAATCATTTCTCTCATTCTAACTACTGTTTTAGACCAGTCGAACTCTAGGCGTGGTTCTCAAGTTTCCAATTTACTTTCATTTAATTACGCCCCCTCCATTAACAAAAGCACTTATTCCCCTCCCCCCAATTGATCCAAAAGGCTCCCCACAACTGTGTTTGCCTCTCCAGGCCTTTCCAAGTGTGCTATTTCACCCTGATCCAGCCCTGGTCTGCCTGAGGCTTCCAGCTTTGCCCTTCAAACTTCTATGGAAGCCCTGAACTCAGCCAGCCCATCTATGTCCTCTGCCTGCCTGCCTGTCTCTGGCCTCCCTGCTCCTGAGTTTTCCCAATGCAGATCTATCTGTCCAGCCCTAACCTCTCTCCTGACCTGCAGTCACAGTGGACAATTCACAGTTCAAGCTGACATCTTTTAGATGTCTTCTAGACATTACCTTTATTATTATCTTTCTCCCCAAACCATAACTTTCTTATTACTCTTGAGGGCACCACCATCGTCCCAGTCACCCAAGCTTGAAGTCACGGGGTCCCCCTTGACTCCGCACTCTTTCACTCTCCATATCCAGTCCTGTCAATTCTACCTTCCAAACATCTCTTGAATACATCCCCTTCTTTCCTCTGATACTGCCACCACTCCAGCGCAGGCCCTCATCACCTCATGTCTGGACTCTTGCCATAGCCAGCTGGTGAGTCTGCCTGGCTCCAATCTCTCCCCATTCCAGACTATCTTCCACCCAGCTGTCAAAGTAAACTTCCTTAGTCTGACCATGCTATCTGAGTGTTCAATAAACTCTACTGACTCCCTATTACCTGCAGGGTCAAATATCAAATCCCGACTTTTAACCTCTCATAACCTGGCCCCTTCCTACCTTTTAAGTCTTTCTGCACTCTACCTACCTCTACACGTGATTCACAGGCACTGGCCACCTTGCTCTTCCTCCAACATGGCCCATCTCCTGACTCTGTGAATTTTTTCCGGCTGTCCCTTGGCCTGCTCTCTTTCCTTATCTCTATATCCTGGCTTCCTTCAAGTCTCAGCTAAAAACATCACCTTCTGCAAAAAGCCTTTCCCAGTCCCCCTAATGCTAACGCTACTACTTTTCTTCTACCCTGTAAACATCTTATGTATGTCTGTCTATCTATCTATCTGCGTGTTATCTATCGGCATGTTATCTGTCTATGTCTATCTGTATGCTATCTATCTATTTATCGTGTGAACTCTCTCATAAGAACGTGAGGTCTTTTAGGGTAGAGACTGGTTTTGTATCACCCAAAGCCTAGCATAGTCCCTGGGACATAATAAATGCATATTGAATGACTGGAAAAAAATATCAAACTCTTGTAACTAATATGCTCAGTCAAGTAAAACAACTTCCTGCCCTGGCCATGTCTGAAAATCTGTACCTCGTTCAGAAAGGAGTCCATCACCTTTCTGTCAGGAAGTGGGTAATATGGTTCATCACTGGTCCTCTGGAATGATGGCTGATCATTGCTTTGATTAGGGGAGGGGGAGGGAAGGTAATCGTTAATAATTAGTTATTATTACGGGAACTTATTAAGCACCTATTGTGTACCAGGCACCGTGCTAAGCTGTTTACAAACATTATCTGATCCTCACAACAACCCTGTGAGGTTAGTGCTCTTTTTCAGTTGAGAAACTGAGACAAGAGATTAGACTTGCCCAGATTCACAGACGTCATACATGTCTGGGGCAGGATTGGCTTTTCTGACTCCAGCCCAAACATTACATTTATTGCGCCACCTAGTGGCAGTGATCAGAATTCTTAAGTCTTTCAAAGTTTTTTTTGTCTTTATAAACAACTTTTGTATTCATTATTGTAAAAATTCTTCTCCTGGTTCTGTTTACTTCACACTCTGAACCAGTTCATATTTTCTCAGTTTTCTCTCAAACTGTCCCTTTTGTCACTTCCTAAAGCACAATCGTAATCCATTAGATTAATATTCCATGATTTATCTAGCCATTGTTCAATTGACTCCCTTTATTTCTAGCTTGTTGTTGTTTTGGGTTTTTTTTTTTTCCCGGCCACCACATGGGTCCTTTTTCTCTTCTGTCGATTTCTTTGGAACATAAGGCGAGTACAGGCATGGCTGTGTCAGAGGGCATACACAGTTAGGTCACCTTTTCCGCGTAGTTCCAAATTGCTTTCCAGAATGGGTGGACCAGTTCAAAGCTCCACCATCAGAGCAATACTGTTGCTACTGGCACAGGACCGCTCAGCACAGCATACCCTCATCAGAGAAGGCGCTGTGCTCTATGAGTAAAACCAAAATTGAAGTGGCTCAAGGGAAACTCTAGAAACGCAAATTCAGAGACTCCACCCCAAATATTCACATAGTCTATTTGCGCCTGACCAATTCCAAGCTTGTGTCGGTCTGCTCAACCACAGTCAAGACACACTGTAACTTGAATCTAGCGTAGCGAGGTCCTCTTAGAAAACGAAGAATAACAACCAGTCCCAAGCAAAACAAACTAACAAAGTTGATCAAAGAGGAAAATGACTTGCTGGAGGGGCTGTGGGAAAACAGGTACATTAAGGTAGTGTTGTCGAGACTATTAAGCAATTTGGAACTGGGTCCCAAAGCTGCGCATACCCTTTGATAACAGTGATACCACTATGAGGTCAAAACCCCCCAAAAAATTGCAAAAAGAGGAAAAGGATCCATAAGTACCAAAATATTTACTGTAGCTCCTTTTATGGTGGCAGAGAATTGGAAATTGAGGTGATGTCCATCAATTAGGGAAGGACTGAACAAGTTACAATATATGAATGTGATAGGATACTATTGTGCTGTAAATGACATAAGAAATGATGAAGGGGAGGGTTTAGAGAAAAATGCATGAACTGACACAGAATAAAGAGAATAATTTTATAATAACAGCAACATTGTAAAAACAAAGACAAAGACATAGGAGTTCTGATCACTGCAATGCCCAATCCTGCTTCCAGAGGACGAAGGCTGTGCTGCTGATCTCTTGATAGAGAAGTGATGGCCTCAGAGTACGGACAGATACTTCTTTTTGGACATGGATAATCCAGTAACTCGTTTTGCTTGATTACACATGTTTGTGAGTTTTGGTTTTTCTTGCTTTTTCAATGGGGTGGGGCAGGAGACGGAGCTGGGAAGTAGAGAAGGCAGATTTTGTCCCTTCCAACTCTAAATCTTTGATCTTAAAACATTTTCCTCCGATGACCTGATATGTTATTTAATGTTCTTCCCTCTCGTTCTGCTTCTTATGAACCAAAACAAGTATATGATTATTAACAGGAGAGTCTAGGTGGGTGTCTGGAGAATGGCACTAAAACTTTCAGGTAAAGACCTCTTTCACTCATCTTTTGTGTTCTCGTCACCTAGTTCAGGACTGAGCAATCGGCATACCTGAATGCCTCGACAAATGAATAAGTGAATGTTGGGGAAGGAAAATGGGCATTAAGGTGGGCAGGGGGCAGATGTTTATTTATAGAGCATATCACAGGCCTTTCGTGTTCCAGCACACAGGCAAGTATTTTGTGTATACTCCAAAATCCTGGGTGCCAATGAGGAAAATCCAATGGAGGCTGGGAGGCAAGAAGGGTCAGGCCACGAACCCTCCCCGATTCCCTGGATCACAATGAATGAACGCTGTCTGCAGATGCAAGGTTTGCCACGCGCTCTGCAGACGTCATCCCTGATGCCCCCCCCGCCCCCCCCAGTCTCCCGGGTTTCCCCAGCGGGTCCGGAGCGCTGCCCCCCTGCGGCAGGAGTCGGAGCCCGGGCTCACCCCCGAGCTACCCCCACGGGGCAGACCCCACGCAGGGGCTCCCCGGGTCCTCGGTGCCAACGTCTACAATCGGGGTCACTCCAGCAGATGGGGAGGAGGAGGGTCTACACCGCAGGCCCCTCCCGCCCGCTTCTCCCCCCTCCCCTCCCCAGGCGGCTCACCTGTGGGGCCCGCGCCGCCCCGCACACCGGCATCAGCCCCAGCTCCATCCCTCCCTCCCTGGCTCCTCCTCAGCAGGCAGGCCCGGGGGCAGGAGGGGCCCGCGAGCGGCCCGGCCCGGAGGTGGGACGGCACATCCCGCGCCGGGCCGGGCCGGGCCGGGGCTGAGGCTCAGGGCGCTTCTGGAGGGGGCCGCTCGGCCTGGGATCGGACCCCCGCCATCCCCAGCCTTAGCCCAGGGCACTCTCAGGCCCAGAGCCTGACGAGCTCCCGCATCTGAATGAAGCCTGATCGCTAGGGGGCGGGGCGGAGAGGGACGCCGGGAGACGCTGCTGATTGGCTGGCTAGCAGCATCACGTGATCGTGGAGAAGCCGAGGGGGAGATCCGTGGGGCGGGGCCGAAGAACAAAGAGGAAGCGGGCCGCGGGAGTTCACTTCCAAGACCCTCGGGACGTGGGGAAGTGGAAACTACCTTGGCCGCAAGGAATTTTGGGAATCGTAGTCCGGAGGCTAGAGGAATCTGTTCTGCGCATGGGCAAGAAAAGTTGCCTCTTCTTCCAACTTTGGTCCAGTGCGCTAAGAGCAAGAAGCTAGCAAAACGCACCGTGAAGACAAGAACCTGCGATGGCGGGGAAAGAAAAGGAAAAGGAGGGACAGGACGCCAGGGGGAATGGGTCTCAAGGCTGCATGGGAAGCACCCTGGAGAGGCTTCTGTGAAGGGCTGCGTGCCCCCTTCAAACCCCCAAGTTCCCTGAGCCTCTAGGCATGGTCCCATTTGGCCATAAGGTTTTGGATAACCAATGGGCCACTGAAATAAAAATCTTTACTTTTGTTTTCTTTTAATATGATAACTTCTTCTGTGCGCCCTCTCTTCCTCCCTCCCGTTCCTTCCTTCCTTCCTTATATAACACTTATTTGTGGGACTTCCTGACCAGTCATGCAAAGGAACTCACAGGCTGAGATTCCAAAACGACAGCGGACTTCTCTCTCAGGGGTCTTGGGGTAATCTGAGGAGTTGGGTTTCTCATAGTGCTGCTCAGGATTCCTCACCAGTGTGCTTCCCATTGTTAATTAGCCATTACTACATGCCTTTTTTTTTTTTAAACTACTGAGATGGCATAGTAACAGCAGTTAATGCAAAACATTCCTTCAGACCAGGCAAGAATCATCCCCTGCACCTTCAAGATCTTTGGGAAGAGTGAACTCAAATTTCAATTACGAAGGTAGTGAGTTAGTTGTTGCCCTCCATTTGTTTTCTCGAAGAGGACCAAAATGGCATCACTGTGTTGGAGTCAAGTTACAGTGTGTTCAACTGTGGCTGAGCAGACCAATACAGCTTGGAATGCTCTGCCACACACTGGGCACAAATAGTCCACGTGAACCTTTGGGGCGGATTCTCTAAATTTGTGCATCTTGTGTTTCTTTTGAGCTACTTCAATTCTGGTTTGCTTACAGAACACACCACCTTTTTTGATAAGGGGAGGCCATGGTGGGCGGTCCTTTGCCAGTATCTCTCTTGTCACATAGTAAATTCCAAAGTTCTTCAGAGAGACCTTGAGAGTGTCCTTGTACCATTTCTTCTGACCACCATGTGAGTGTTTGCCTTGTGTCTCCATAAAATAGTCTTTTAGTCAAGCATATTTTTGGCATTCTAACCATGTGGCCAGCCAATCAGAATTGTGTTCTCTGCAACAGAGTTTGAATGTGTGGCAGTGCAGCTTGAGAAAGGACTTCAATGTCCCACACCTTTTCTTGCTAGGTGAACTTCAGAATCTTCCTAAGACAATTCAAAATTCAGTTTCCTGGCATGGCACTGATATACTGTCCAAGTTTTACAGACATACAACAGTGTGGTCAGCACAATGGCTCTGTAGACCTTCATCTACAGTCTTCTCTCCCACACCTTCCTTTGGAGCCTCCCAAACACTGAGCTAGCTCTAGCAATGTATGTGTCAACCTCATGATTAATGTGTACATCCCTGGAAAGTATGAAGCCAAGGTAAGTGAACTTATCTATAATATTCAAAACGTCTTCATTTGCTGTAACCAATGGTTTCCACATATGGATGGTGTGGTGCTGGCTGGTGGAGCACCTGTGTTTTCTTGGTGTTGTTAGGCCAAAATTAGCATAAGCAGCAGTGAATCAATCCATACTTTGTTGCATCTCAGCTTCAGAGTTACTTATCTTCAGTTAGCCACAGTTTCTTCAACTGTAAAATGAGGATTGTAATAGCACCTACCTCCCAAGGTTGTTGTGAGGATCAAATGAGAATTGTAAAGCACCTTAGCATAGTGCCTGGCACCTGTCCTCTTCCCCCCAGACACAGTTGCCCGTTGACTGGGAAATGTCAAAACAAATTGTGGCAAATTAATGTAATAGAATATTACTGTGCTATAAGAAATGGTGTATATGATAAATACAAAGATGCATGGAAAGAAATACCTGAAATGATAAAGTGAAGTAGAGCCCACCACCAGAAAATACACAATGACTACAAGAACATAAATGAAAAGAAAAACCACACACACACAAATCAAAAATGAATGTAACAAAATTACAAAGTGCATGAATGACTAACAGAAATATGAGAAGCTATCTCCAACTCACTTCTTCACAGAGCAGGAGGCCCAAGGGCTTGGCACATTACACACGTTTTTGAACTTTTTCAATATTGATTAGTTTGCTGATCTTTCCTCTTTTTCTTTAAAATATATTATTTGTTATGTGGGATGGCACTCTAGGAGTGGGAGTAGAAGAGATAATAGGGGAAACTATGATGTATGGAATGGAAATGGAAAACTCAATAAAAACTTTTTGTAAAAAATGTAAGTTGTGTGATCTGGATAAAAATCTTCTTGCATTCAGTATATATATCTTGGTTACTAAACCTTTCTCAAAGAAATTTGATAAAATGATTATTTTCCATTTGACCACTTCTCTTCTTCTCCTAGGTCCATTAATTTGTCTTTGCAGAAGCTTTTCAATCAATCGACATTTATTAAGCAACTACTATGTTCCAGGAGTTATCTATTTTATCTTTTGTAATTCCCTCTCTCTTGTTTGGTTAAGAATACATCTCCTAGGATCTGAGTTCAAATCCATCTGCAGACACTTAACACTTACTAGCTGTGTGACCTTGGGCAAGTCACTTAACCCCATGGCCTAGTCAAAAAACAAAAACAAGAACAAAAAAGAATACATCTCCTACCCATAAATGTGAGAAGTATATAATCTGTTTTTGTTTGAAAAATGTTTAAAGCATGATCTTTAATATTAAGGTCATGTATCCATTTAGAATGCATTGTAAAATATGATATAAAATGTTGGCCTAAGTCTAATTCTGCCAGATTGCTTTCCATTTTTCCCAGAAGTTTTTATGAGATAAGGAGTTGTTTTCCCCCAGGTATACACACAGCTTACTTTCTATGAGAATTCACACTAGAGAAAAACCTTATGAATGTTCGGAGACTTTTATCCAGATCACATATGTTATTTCCACCAGAGAATTCACACTGCAGAGAAAGCTTATGGATATGTTAAATGTGGAAAAGCTTTTAGCTCCACTTTATTTCTTACTTGCTCCAGAGAACTAATACTGGAGAAAATAATATCAATATACTGAATGTGGGCAGACCTTCAGATCAAACATACAGCTTATTTCTCATTAAAGAATTTATGTTGAGTATTGTAAATGCAATGAACATAAGAAGACTTTCATCCTAACTATACATCATACTTCCACCAAAGAATTAATTCTGGAGAGAAGCTAACTTTTCAGTGTCACCAGGCAACTCTTTTAATCCATATTACATATGAATTGCCCATCTGAATTTGGTGGAGGTTATTTCTATACTAAGTTCCCTGAATCAATCTTCGCAGATCTATACAAATACGTGAATGTGTTTTCCATGCAGAGGTTGCATGGCACAGAGGACAGCTAATGTCACAGACAGAAAGACCAGGGTTCAGACCCCGTCTCTGACATATCCTGGCCCTGTGAACCTGGGCAAGTCACTTCACTTCTTAGTGGCAGAATTAACTCTCTAAGATTTTGATTTATAGAGAAGGTACTGATAGGCATAGGAAGTTCCTCACCATGAGCTCCCTTTTTATTGTTATTCAGTTGTTTCACTCGTATCTGACTCTTTCTGACCTCATTAGGGCTTTACTCTGATGGAATTACAGGTGTAGTGAAAAAAAAAAAAAGCCAAGTTGTATAGGTCACAACTTATTTAAACATTCCTTGTTGTTTAGACACTCTGCTTATTTCTAACTTTTACTATTACAATTTTTTTTTGTACACATGGATCTTCTCTTGGCCTTTATGAGGTATGAACTCAATAGTGAGCAATGCTGGATCAGATTAATAACAAAAAATTCCAATTGTCTTTTCAGAATAGTTAGACTGATTCACAGCTCCACCGTAGTGAATTAGCATGCCTATTTTCCCACAGTCATTCCAATGCTGAATTATTCCAATTTTGTCATGTTTATCAGTTTGATGGGTAAAAGATGGTATCTTAGAGTTATTTTAAGTTTCGTTGTTTTGATTAACAATTTAATTTTGAATGTTTTTCAAGTGTTTGCATTTATTATTTTGAGAACTTCATAACCTTTGATATTTATTGGGGAATGAGTTTTAATCACATTGATTCTCTTGTTGATTATGGATGTCCTATTTTTAGCAGTGACTTTTTTATGTCAAGATATAATCCAATCTATATCTTTTCTTTTTCCAGCTGCAATGATTTTGTGTCAAAGTTTGTTTTGAAAATTTCTATAATAATTCTGTCTCTTAAAAAAGACTGCTACAGTTAGTTGGTTATTACATTTGTGAAAGCTATACTGTAGCATTCTTTAACAATGTTATACTAAGACTTTAGATTAACATTTGAAATGTATTATTGTATATACTATAATTAACTAATTTAAAGCCATTTCTCAATAAACTGCTATCCAATTGCCCCTAGCAGTTCTTGTTGAATAAAGAATTCTTTCCATTGTATATTATGTTCTTAGATTTATTAAAAATTAACCTGGTATA